GTATACGAGCATTTTTTTCTTGACACCTGTAAATTGATTTAAAAATTACGATAGAAGAAAATTTATTTTCCATATCTTGAGGAGCGTTATTTAATATGCATTCCGCAGATCGATACACCTTGGGGAACGATTATTTTCTCCATCCAAAATTTGGAACACGGCGCCCACCAATGTGCTTAATTTCTTAAATAATCTAAGATTGGAGTGACTAAAATTAGTACATATTTAGCACAATAGATCTTTTTTTAGGTCGCAGCGGAAGTATACCCTTAATAATAATAATATGCATGTATTTTCGTTTTTCTTAAGAGCTTTTTAATAAAAAAAAACAAGATTGCTCAATTGCGTCACTTGAATAGGCACAGGGAGCGTAATATCCTTGGGAGCATAGCACCAAAGTTAGTGAAGCACTTAACCATTTTCTATTATCGCAAAGCGATAATGAGCCAAGCAGGTGGAAAAAATGGAGGACTTCGCGGACCTAAGCCCCCGAATGCGATCTGTTGGGAACTAAGTTAAAAGAGCATACTACATATATTGTTGAAAGCTGAAGAAAGAACATACAGTCATTGTCAAAAATTTGAATACCCTGACGTTTTGACGATTTTATTTCATTATATATTCCATACAAAATTTTTCTTACTAATTAATAAAAATATGGTTTATTCAACAGCAAAAATCGGCAGAATAATTTTTTTTTTTTAATTTCATATAGAACTCCGGAAAAATTCAACAAATAGTTAAAAGTGTTCATCAAAATCTTCAACTTTTGAATTCGATATCTTAAGAATCAAGAGTATTCTGTAGAGATTTAAAACTTGCACCTTATTATTCAAAAATTTAATGGGCTACAAAACTGCGTATTCATTTTTCTAAGAAATCTAATTGATAAGCTGAAAATTTTAATGATTTTTTTTCGGTATTTCCTAAATTTTCCCGAGTTCTATATGAAATCTAAAAAATTGATTCTACTTGTCTTTGCTGTTGAATGAACTCGAGTATTATAAAAAATAAGAAAAACTTGGTAAAAAATATAAACAAATAAAATCAATAAAACGTCGGGTATTCATATTTTTGACGCTGACTGTATATATCCTTGTCGTCAGCTGATTAAGTTATGTAACATTTTGACCAGTTTTGGCTATTTTTCTTTTGTCTATTTAATGTCTATAATTTTTTTTTATAAAAGTTTAGCACATTACATAACGAAAACAACATTTCTTAAAAATATAAAAATTCAACAAATATTAACAGTTACACCCAATAACTTTAAAATTTTTTTAGAATTTTTAGAAATATTTTAAGTACGCACTTTTACAGCTCATTAATTTTTAGTAGGTTGAAGTGCAAATTTCAAGACGCTAGGAAATCACGTGATTTTTAATAATTTTTTTGTCTGACGGTGTTGTGCTTTTTCTTCCACACAAAAAATGCTCGGCAATTACTTTTCACTTACTTTTTGCACCGTCAGCAAAAAAAAAGTAAAATTGTTGAAATCAACGCGATTTTCTAGCTTCTTGAAATTTGCAGAAAAATAGCCAAAAATGGTCAAAATGTCACTTAACTACATCAGCTGACCAAAAGGTATGTAGCATTGTATGAAGAAAGAAACAATTGAATCAAAATACAAATGCCACACGAAAATAACCGAAAGTCCGCCTGATACTGGACTAAAGAAAAACCGGAGTTTTTACTATAGGATATGTAGATTATGAACGGTTCTAAGCCACAGCTGGTAACTGCACGGGCACGCGTGGCAAGCTAATTGTAGCTCTCTGTACAATTAACATATCGCACACCGCCTACAAAAGAGTCACAATTCAAAATTTGGCATTTTTGAGATTATGCTCTAAAGATGTACACAGAGCTTTTATTTATTTTTCAGCAAAAGCTGGACCAAATTTTTGTTATAATTTGTTAAAAAAAAACAGGTAAAGTCGCACTTTCCATATGATTGTCATGTGCTAAGAAATAGTTTTTCGCATTTTCTGAGAAACATATCATTTTGAGTTGTGACTCTTTTGAAGACGGTGTGCAAGATATTCAACTGGCATGCAATAAAAGCTCGCTCTGGCCAACACTGCTTTAACCCTGGACGTCGAGTCGACTAATAAAAATTGGGTTTCGCTTCGTAAATCTCTCTGAAGTCACTTACCTTTTTGCTTATTATATGTTATATTTTGTTAATGTGTTTCAAAAAAAAAAAGAAATATTTAATAATTATAAAACGAAGCTTAATTTTTAACTGTAATTTGTTTATTGTTTAAATTTAAATTTAAAGTTGGTGTTAGTCGTTTCGACTAACAAGCCCGCAGATAGAGTCAAAAGAGCGAATCTCTTCCAGGGTTAAGCATTTGTGCTCACAAAATAAAAATAAATTGAATAATTAAAAAAAATAAGAATCACGACTGGAATTTTGGTAACTTCAAAAAGTGGTGTTTTTTTTCAGAGAATTATTGTTAAAACTTTGTTCGATTCTACTTCATGATCAAGAAGAGAGTATGATGTTTCCCACGACAGTCGGGTCTATGTAACTGGAATGACCCAGGTTTATATCTGGCCAAGGACTGTCATTCCAACAACATTCTCTAAAACTTTTGGGAAATTTGTATTCCGTTTCAACAACAGTAACGGTCCGAAGTGCGATTTCGTAATTTTGAATAACTGACAAAGGTCTCCTTTTGAGTATGTCAAAAAAATTTGTTTGGCAGACATTCCATCCTCTTGCCCGCCTATAACAGTGGCAAGGAGCGAGATATCGTTGAATTATTTAAAAGGCCCTTAAGACAACCTCTCTGACAGGGTTTTCGTCATAATCCTTTCTTTTTGTTTGCCTATTCGAGTAAAATCCAAACCGCCAAGGTATTTTCTTCGTTTCCGCCACTTTTCTTAAAATTTAGTCATTCTTCAAAATAAGACTAACAGCCGTATTCTAATAAAGAGTGTATTCGCGAATTCTTCTAGCAGAAAACTCTCAAACGGCATAATTTTAATGAATTCTTATTTGTCCTTTCTCAAGGAGAGAAATGTTTGCCAAAGTACGCGAACGCAAAACCAGCAAAAACTTGCAAGTTTTTAGTGCAGTTGATCGAAATTTTGTTTACATACAAAAGCATAGAGCGGAAAACATGAAAATAATTTAAGTACATAGATTACAAGTTTGCCTAACACAATTTATAAGCAAAAGTAAGCTAAGTTAAGTAAGCTAAGTAAAAAGATGACTTTCTGTTTTTCTTGCTTGCAAATTGCTGCTGGCAAAAATTTTTAATTTAATTTATTTTTAATTTAAGTTTTGTGGATGTTAAGCTGATGCCAGATAAAACGCTTGCTTCGCTTTGCGTGACAGGTTCGCTTTGACAGATAAGATGAATTGTATGAAAATGCACAACGCCTGCCACATATGTATGTAGATCTTTGCGGCTGCAGCGCGAAGCGAAAAGATTAGCAACTCCCATCTTTTTGCGCGCGTTGACAATCAGCCGGTTTAATATTTATTATGTTTCGTCCAAATTCGAGCTTTCTGTCAGAAAAAAAAAATTTAATTACATTGCTGATATTTTTTAAGCTAATTTTTGAGAATTGACGCGGATAAGGGGAGTTTTCGATGACAACCCTAGTAAAAACGGCCAGCTTTGTCTTTTGTACAAGTAAGCAAGCAAAGCAGGCGAGTTTGGCGTCCGCGGTAGCTGAGTGGTGAGAGTTGTGTGCTATAATCCTGGACCTGTCAGGTTCGATACTCGGATGGAGCTACTGCGAATTTTTTTTGTTTGTTTTTATTAATTTATTTAATTTATTTTTTTTTTGATTTTTTTATTTATATATTTAATTTTACTTAATTTTGTTTTCATTTGCTTTATTTTATATCTCATTTTTTATTTTACTATTAGTTAATTTAATTTTTTAGAGTTAAGTTTTATTAAGAAGTCAACAACAACTAACTGAAAGCAACGTTAAAATATATAGAACATATAAAACAATGAATAAAAAAGGAATAAAGCTTAAACAGACGGCAGCGTTGATCCGGATCAGCTCGGACTTAATCGCGATCAACTGCAGTTAATTCCCGAGTTGATCCGGATCAACGCTGCCGTCTGTTTATGCTTTTAGGGCAAAATTATGATGCGCATTTGTGTGCTAGTTAATCTGCATAAGCATGCTTGTCTGACTCGCGTTTAAGGTCGGTTCTTGTAGAAAAATTATATGCCTATTCAAGTGAAATTGGGTGTTCGCGGTAGTGGCCTTCAATCACTTCCAACAAGTTCGACGTCAATTTAGCCTACCCATCGCTGACGCCGCTGCTGCTGCTACCTTCATTGAGTGCAGTTATATACGTCGACGTTCGACATTGTTTTTCTCGTGTTGTTCTTATTGTTGTTAGCATGCTATAGGCGGTTACATATTTATTTTTTTGGTTTTCTTCTCTTCCGTTTGTTCGTACGTTGGTATTCTGGCTTCGCTCGGACTCTCCTACGATCGGAGTAGATTTACTCCGGATTTTAAAAAAATGTGTATATGTAATCTAGTCCTCTGCTCATATTTTCTTTAAATCTGCTCTGTTTTTTTATTCACGTTCTGGTCCTTTTGGGGCCGTATGTTCAGTTTGGGTTTGCGCTTTTGCTTTTGCATGATTTGAAAATATTTAAGTGATATCCTATTTCATTCAACTCACAATAAGTTGAAGTTCCAAGAGAAATTTCTAGCAACTTTTGCCATTTAAATACCGGCAATGAAATTTACATAACTTTAAAATTTTTGATTACCACAAAAAACATAAAAATCTTCTCCGATTTTTCCGTTGATTTACTCCTGAATCGAGTTGTAGGGAGAGTCCGAACACTGCATTCTGGTTTCAAAATTTTGAGGAGTTGAAATTGCCGTGTGCATTTGTGTGTGTTGTAATTGTTGTTGTTTTGTTGTTGTTGGCCGCAGCTAGTTGGTAGACGAAGCATTTTTGTAGAATCAGCAGGAGGCAGATAGCCGTTGTGCGAATCCATGAGACAGAAGGAATCACTTGTGCGCGCGCCATCGAAATGGACGGTTGTCCATGTGTCTCACACTGGCTTGGAACGTTGTTTTTTCTTCAAAGCAGCGAGGTCGGCTGGAAAATAAACGAAAAAATGGCTAGAGAAGAAAAATAGCACTGTTACTTCTAACATAGCCTTTTATTGGAGATTTTTGCTACCGTTACCACTACTGGGACAAAGTTGGATGTGGTGTTCTGTTCTACTGGCGTGGGAGCAGTTCATGAATTAGCTTTTGCAGTGCTTTTTATCTAGCCGTAACAAAAACAAAGTGGGCTACTTGCTCCATATTCTTCGTTTTTGCGGTGTAAATTGTGCAAGCGTGTGTGCGTGTTGGAAAAATAACTTTAGTAAACCGTTATATTTTCATAGTTCAACGTCCTAGTGTTTTTTAAAAAATCAGTAAATTACTGCTTTGAGAAACGGTAAAAAATACAGTGTTGTATTGAACGTTAAGTCGTTTTTAACATTTTGGCACTAAGTTTAATAATACTGGACTTGTTAAATTCTCAGTGGATCACTAAACGATATCAACTGGTGTCTAGAATCTGATGGCGCTTTTATTTTAGTTTTTTCTAAATGCGGAGGGGGAGGTGAACTCCTCGACTTGGTTCATAAGACTACTACGATATTAGTACAAGCCGGCCTGCAATCGTTTAAAAGGTGAGTAGGTATTTGATTTGATAAAAAAAATTAATAGTAAAAGGGTCGTCTTAGATCGTCAGTTGAGTGTCAGTTGATTTCGAACTGAATAGTTTTTTTAGAGAAGCTCTATTCAAAAATATTGCAAAGAATTAAAATTAAGGAAAAAAATAAAATAATGAAAAAATAATAAATTAATGAACGAAATAAAAATTTTGGAAAAAAATGAATTAAAAAAAAATAAAATTTTAGCAAAAAATTAGAAATTTAATGAAAAAAAGTAACTTAAATACAAAAAGAAAAAATCGAAATTTAATGAAAAAAATGAAAAATAAATAAAAATTCAATGAGAAAATTAAAAATTAAATAAAATTGAAGTGATTATACAATCCGATTATACAAGACGATGCGTTAGTAGGAGCTGATATGTGATAACATTTTTTTCCAAACCATTTTTTTTTTTAACGCATAGAAATTTGACTTTTTGGTCAAAAGCGATGTTTTCAATATTTTTATGTATGTAGAGTATTGGTCAATATAATAGCAACCCTATTTCAAAGTGGTATTGTTTGCCACTCATGTTTATTTATTTATTCTTAGAAATTTCCAATTAAAACACAGTTCACTCTTTTAAAAAACCCGAATAAACCCAACTCCAAACTTTGTACCTTAACTTATTTTTGAGTTTTTTTTTTAGAATTCGCGCGAAAGTTTGTTTAAAACGGTCCACATATATTTTGCTTCAAATCAAAATAAAGCATAAAACAAAAAAAATTTAAAAAACAATGCGATTTTTAAGCCGCTTGAAAAATTAGACTTAAACTGGTATGGGTCATAAAACTGCATACCCAAAAAATTAGCTAAAAATTCATATTAAAAAGTTTGAAATTTGATGAATTTTCTTAAATTTTGTATAAAGTTCGAAACTTTATGAAAGCCTAGATAATATTTTTATAGAAAAATTACAAAAAAATTTAACTTGAAAATGAGAATATTAAAAAATCAACACGTGGTCACTTGTTTCAGTCACTGTATATATGTATGTATGTATGTGCATTAGGACGCATACAAAAAAGAAAACTTGGTAGGTAGGTACTGTTTTCCATCGGAAATATAAAAACTTATTATTTATATTTTAAAAACCGCTAAAATTTTAATTTAATTTTTAAAAAATTTTAATTATTACGTAAATCAGACCTATTTATAAAAAAAAACTGGTTTTAAAAAAATATTTTTTCTAAAATATCACAAATCGATGGCTGAATGGAATATCGATCTATCTCGGCAGCCAGTTCCAAAACGACCTATCTCAGAAAACTTTTCAAGAAGGCACTACTTCAGAATTTGATTAAAGAACGGCATATTTCAGAATTTTATTGAAAAGCACCCTATCTGCGAATTTGGTTGAAGAATGCCCTATCTCAGAGCTCGGTTCAAAAACGCACTATCTCAAACGAAAATACATTGAAAATGTTCTTATCTAGGCCGCTTTTCAGCCGAATTCTTTTTGGTTATGCACTCTAATACAAATACATAGTACATACATACACACATAATATGTATATATACATAGTACGTAGATTTTTTACAGAAAAGCCCTTTAAAAGTAATAGCTTTTTTCTCATGAATGATTAAGCTCGTCGACTTGTCAAAAATATACATACATACATATGTATGTATGCATGTACAGTGGCGAAAATATAAATAGGGAAGAGACGTTTTAGCATTGTTTGACTATTTCTCTTCCGATTATTGAATATTTATTATTTTTTTATGAAAGTGTATCTCGTTATCGAATAAAGACCATGTAAGTCCATTAGTTTAATTAGGAAAATTCGACGAATGTTTCATCAACATTTTCAGCTTTTAAATTATTTTCTGAGTATACAGTTTTATAGCCAATTTAATTTTAGTAGCAACTTTTTTTGGGCTATAAAAGCGCATACTCAAAAAAAAATTCTAAAAAATCTGTATGTACTAGGGATGTTAATGTTTTAGATTTTTACGATCCCGGTATTTTCGGGATGTCGTTGGGTCAATCCCGGGTTCCAGGGATTTAGATATTTATTATTTTTCAACAACTTAACACGAAAAACTGCAAATATTTCATAAGTAACAAAACGAAAGACAGTAATTAAATTTATATGCATTTAATAATACTTTAGCGTGTACATATGTATCTGATAAAGTAACTTAAGGTATGTCAAAAAATTTGTTTCTGGTTGAAAAAAGTTCAAAATACTAGTGGCGGAAATAAAAGAAGCGCCTTATTTCGACCAGTTTTGTCTATATTCGAATATAATTCCAAAGATATGATTAATTCCAAAACTTATTTAAAAAATTCAGTGCAATGTAAAACGAAAAAATGGGTAAAAAATTAAAGAAAAAATTCTGTAGAATTTTTTGGGTTCACAAGGACGAATAGGAATTGAAAACACCCCTTTAATCTATTTTAATTTTTTAAGCTACTAAAGTTAGTCCTAAACATATACCTAATTTTTTCAAAAATAAGAATTACAAAATTTCAAGTATATTCAAGGATAAAATTATAAAAGGACATTTTCAATACCTAACAGTCCCTTACGCACTAAAAAATGTAATGTGTTTTAACTCTAGAGAATATTCTCTTTCATTTGATACCCATACCGGTTTTTAAGTACATTACACTAAAGTTTTAAAATAATTTTTATAATTAATCGATATCTTTAAAATTTCAAAGTTCTTTTAAAAAATCCTGACGTCAGAGAGAAAATTAAGTGAGAACTAACAATTTCTCCAAGGTTAGAGAAAGAAATACTTCTTGGTTGTTTGCTGGGTATTACCACTTATTTCGAGTTCAAGCCTAATTGGAGTTGAGCTATAGAGTATATAGATATTTCTTCTGTATTCTCTTTAGCCCGCATGCCATAATAGGTGGGTGCTATTGTTATTTGCAAGCGAGTTCAGTTTCTCTCGAAAGATTAAATATCCTTGAGTGCCAACTCTGGGCCATATTTCATATGAACTTCCCCTACCTAATTTAAAACCCCCCAAGGGAAATTTTAGTATGTATAAGTGTTCCCCCCTTATAAGCCCCTAAGTATTAAGCAAATTAAGAAACTTGAATCACCACTATTAAAATTTGTATTGCTAGGCACACTAGTCTGCATGACCCAGACACCATCACGACCGACAGCTTATCTTAAGGTTGCATACTCCATTACATATGTATGTATGTATATTATTGGACTAGTCATACAACTAGTATGTAGGTATGACCATTTATTGTGCTTGGCCATCATCTTGCCACTACATAATGACCAACTGTTGATTGTTGGCTCACTCCTCTAAGTCGGTACGTACTTACATATTGACAGCAACTCATCATTGGCGCATGTTATTCCTTTATGTCGTCTTCCTTCTACGTCTTCCCTTAACGTCAAAAGAATGCGTGGCTACAACAGCCAATATCCATGGCCATAGTCATGGTCAAATGTGGCAAGATTATCCGCTCCTCTATGGGTCTTATGCTATCTTTATACATATGTAGGTGCATATGTACATACATATGTATGCACGATTTCAACAACAGTTCCTCATTCATGAAAACTGGTCTGACTGTTCTACTGGACCATTTGATGCAGTCTGTGTCTCTAGCTGGATACTTGCTTACATAAATATGTACATATTATGTTTGTAGCTTCAAATTCAGGTTTTTGGTGTTGGTTGCATGCAATATTATTCCTAGCTGCTGTTAAATGCTGTTATTATTTGTTGATGCTGTTTGGTGTCGCAGTGGATGAATACCACCAACCAATACTGTTGCTCCCGTTGCTGTTGATTTTGCCAAGTAATTCTAGCTTTAGCTAATAAAATGCCGTTAGCTTTTATGATTGCACTTTTCTGTTTGAAGAATTCAGGTATTGTATATTTGCGAGGCAAGCTCCTGCTGCTGGAAATGTTCGTCATACGTTTTTTTAGTAGTTTAAGCAATACTAGAGTGCCAGTTACGGTCGAAATTCGACCTTTTTTATAGTTTCTAAAAGCCTTAGAGAGCTTTTATAACTTAGCACTTATGTAGTTTAACTTATAAGGTGCAAAGTAACTTCCCGGAAAATCTCATGCTTTGGAACTAAAACGTGACTACAATTTTGTATAACTTTGAAGATCTTTGGAGGACTTCTAGTTTATAGATAAATCTAAATAATTTGATACATATCGATAATTTGATGAATTTCAAAAACACTAAAATCCGGTAACTCAACAAAATTCGGTAACTTGACTAACTTCGATAAGTGTGAAATTCGAGGGATCAATAAATTTCGATAACAGAAAATTTTATATGTTTCGATATAATTCGATAACTCGATACGCTTTGGATACCCTTAAAAATTTCGATAACTCGGTTAATTTTAGCAGGTCCATATTTATGGAAAGCTATCTACAAATTTCGGTAACTCGTTACACTCTGTTAACACGATAAAATTCGATAAGCAGTGATAGCTCGATAAACTTATATAACTTTGAAATTTCGATGCCTCGATATCTTTTGAAAATTCCATCAAATTCGATTCGATAAATCGGATCAATTTCAGTAAATCAATAATTATCGATAATTCTGTGGAAAGAACTTGATGCTTTACGATAACTCGATAAATTTCTTTAACTCTATAAATAATGATAATACAATAAATATCGATAATTTGATAAATTTCTTTAACTTAAAAAATTTCTATTCACCCATAAATTGTTATAGCTCGATAACTGTCCGTAAATTTCAACAACTAAGCTTCTGTGTATATAATTAACGACAATACAATCAACATAGATCAATTTGAATAATTCGACATGCTTAACTCGATTAACTTCGATAACTATAAAATTCGATGATTTGATAGATTTCTGCAATTTTTCGTTTCCTATCGAAAAATTTCAATTAATTTGTTTACTCTTTCAGTTATCCTAATTCTTATGTATTTCTCATTGTCTTCATTTGCCTCTGTATCTTCACTTTTGCCTTGTCTTTTTTGTCTTCATCGTTA